ATTTAATCCTTTACGTCAGCTGAGTACTACAAATATAGTATCTGTGCCAACACCAGAATTTTAGAATTGCTGTGAATAGGCTGTGCCCAAGTGTGGCAGTATCCTCTGAGTTGAGAAATGTTTGGGAATTGTGGATTTTGTTTGCTGAGGCTTCTTTTCTTTCATTCTTTGACAGAAGCACATTCTAAGAGAACTGCATAACAGGTACTCCAAAACAAAAGCTGCAGTATCTTCTGCTTGCATTCTGCATTAGCTGTGCCATTCAATGTGTTTCACATGGCATTTTGTGTTTCTGTCAAAGAGAAGCCACACATATTTACTTGATTTGAAACATAGATGCCTGGCAAGTTGTTATGGGCAATCTGGATGAATATTTGTTGTCATTTGCCTTATTTTCATTCTAGTCAATATTCCAAATGATAACCACCTCAAAGGTAACTTGTTTCCATTGCATTAAAAATTCCATTGGAAGGTTGCTTTTTATTGTAGCTTGTTAAGTGCTTAATTGATACATATATATCATATATAATAAATATATAAATATAAATAAATATAATAAAAAGAATCATACCCACCCCCCTCACCCCCCCCGCTCCCTCTCAGGAGCTGAAGTTAGCTACAGAGGAGCCAGATCTGTTGCCATTTACAAGTTCTTCTGTAGTGATCTAGCAATTCATCAGTGTCAATGACACATGGGAACTCTCATGTTTGTAAAAGCCTGCAAGGGATCCATGTCCTACATTTCAACAAAAATCACAAAATCACATTTCAAGGTGGTCAAAGTTAGAGAAACATCAGGCACATAATTGTTAGCCCTTTTCTGAAGTGAAGGGTAAAACATAGAGAAACATGTAGAAGCAAGAAGTTAGCAGCTGCAACAGAAAGGTGAATCCTCCTTTGAAGTACCTAGAAAATTGGAAATGAAGCATATTGTCACTATGCCAGAATTATTTGTCTACTGCAGGAGGAGAAGCGGTATGAGAACCTAAACAGGCAAATACATTGATACATGCATGTCACAGAAATCACAGTGGAGCAGTCATTGAGGGGCTGATGAAGATCTTATGTGATTCATTGCTGTATCTATCTTCACTGGCCTATATCATGGTGGGGATTTTTCCCCACCCACTCTCTACATGTTCCTACCTGATTGTTTGTGTTCTTGTCAGTAGTTGCAATGGGCTCGCAATGATAAGCTTGAGTCTGCCACATACTTCACCACAAATTCCTTGCCACCACGCATTGTGTTTTATGGGCAATTGCCTCAGTCTCCCACCAGTTAAGATGTGACAGCATGAGAGCGAACACACATAGTTAGTGTATTTTCATTTTAGAGCTACTAAGATTTTGGAATACTACAGTAGGTGGTCTTATATCTATATATGGCAAAGTTGTAGCCCGTAGTTGTACAGCCTTTATGGTGATGTTTCATACAATTTCATTTTTTTATGGTCTTTACTTTGCAGGAGATAGTCTATATTATCTGAAGCTGATCAGGCAGCTTTGGGTTGAAAGTTCAGACACACATTGTTATAAAACTGGTTCTGTAGAGTTTGATAATTGAAGTATGTGAAGTGCTGGGGACAGCACCTGTACATATAAAGCTATTTTACTTATTTTCATGTCTTTAATACTCAGAAACATGGCAGAAAAAACCTTGGTTTTACAACTTACTGATCAAAAATACCATGTGTTAGCACAGATACACATGTTGGATTCTTTCAGGGCACAAAAATTAGAATGTACATGACATCCATTCACACTCAAAATGAGGACTGTAATGAGGAAATTCTTCCCTGTGATCCATCAGCGTGCTCTATGCATGGAGACTGTATCAGTTCCTTGACCGAAATCTTGGTTGGCAATTTGCTCATGATCTGACTGGAACACTGAATTTTTCTGATTTATCTGAAAAATTCATGCCGCAAAAGTGAAAATACTGAAAATGTGCTAAACACTCGAGTGCTAAGATATATTTTGAATGCTCAGCAATTGACTATGTTGCTACTGTATTCTGCCTAAATCAATGTCAGAGAGTTAAAATAGTAAGCATTTGCTTGCATTGTGAAAAAAACAATGTTCAGATTAACTTCATAAAGACCTGATTTGTGAGATCTTGGGTGTCCACTGATATCAGTTGCTATCTTCCTGATTTTCTTAATTCCTAATATCACATTACAAACCTGATTTCTGTTTGTAGCAGTTTGTGTTTCTGCTTTTTGCCTGTTGTTGAAGTGGGTGCATGTGTAATGTACTCTTCTTACTCACAGGATCTTTACTTAAACTGGTTGTTCTGAACAAATCTCTCCCTGAAGACATCAGGACTTATTCATATGTTTGGAAAAATGTATATTGTCTCTTCATGCTATCTAAATGTCATCTGCTGGTCATTGTTTTTCCTTTCTTTTTTTTCTTTATATTTGTTGTTATTTTAAAATAGTGCTAATTCTAATACAAATTCTCATGTTTATGATAACACATCTAATAATAGGAAAATATTAGAAACTCATGAGCAGGAAATATACTTGCATCTGGCATCATTGGTTACAAAGGATCGAAGCTATCCAGAATCTAGGGATGCTGTCTTATATTCATGCCTCAGAATAAATTACTGTAGGTGACTTTTTTCCCTCCCAAAGTTGTCTTCTCCTAGTCTAATAATCTTAGCTAATAAAATGTTCTGTTCTGAAATCTATCTAATTCCCACCAGGAGTTGCATGATTCTGTTTTCTCTTTAACTGGCTAATTATTATTATTGTAGACATTTTATTTACTCCAAAGTGGTTTGAGGATAATTGATTAGGTTGCACCATGTCATGAAAGAACAGATGGCAGGCTAGTCTGTCAGCTCATCCACAGCATATGAGAATACTAAGAAAATTAAAAGGGATGGGAAGAAAAAGGAAAAAAACAAAAAGAAAGAAAAAAGAAGGTGAATAAGAGCCGGGGAGGAATGAGCTACGCTGTGCTTGCAATACAAAAAAACTTCTTGTAGTGGGTGGTCCTTTGGGAAGGTAATTGGAGATCTGCAATATGTCCACTACAATCAGCAAAAGGGTACAATACTTCTCTGCAGGGAATTGGGTAGGGAAGAACTTGTTTAAATAAAATTGCAGGGTTGTCAGAATGTTAAACTAATTCTTTAATGTTCTGTGCATTGTCTGGGGAATTTTGGCTTTGCATCATTTGCTGTACTGGAGTTCTGAAAAAATAATTTAATAGAAGTGTTTTGGATTGTGTTAACATGTACGTTAGCTTTGGAAACCCTGACTGTGTTTAATGACAACTAAAAACACTATTAGACAAGATGCACTCTCCCATGTTCTCTCTGCATCCCCTCCCAGATTTTCCATTCTTCTTCACTTAGTAGAATTGTTTATCTCAATACAAAGGGAATCTACTTTGCTGTTATTCTGATTGGGTGGCACCAGCATTTCTGTGTGTGTTAATTATTTATCAGTGATGGATTACCATGGATAAAACTCTACATGGGTTAATTGCATATAGAGGAATGTAAAATCTTGGACAGATCTCACTTTAGCATTTATGTATGTATGGATGTGGCAAACGGGCAAACAGTAAGAACATGGCAAAAAGCAAAACATACGCTGTCCATCCCAGAGATCACCAAAATTATTAATCATTATATCTCCAAAAATCCCAAAAGGAAAGATCCAGAACAAAGTAAGGGATTTCTGTACGAAGGTTAATCTTTCTAGACCTGATCCTCTGTTATGCATTAGGAAGTATTTATGCCTTTGCAAATTAACATTAAGTGCCAGCAAATCAAAAAGGCAAGACATCAGCACCATCCGTCCGATAAGATAAAAAACAGGGAGCATATAACTCCCAGTCAAGAGGCACTCTGACAAGGCCACTGCATCAGCTGGAGGGCTGAGCCCAGCACGACTAGCTTCCCCAGGTTAAGCTCATTTTCTTCCCCTCAGCATCCTATCAGTCATCAAAGGATCTGCCATGGAACTCCCACAGGCCAGCAGGGAGGAAGACTCCTCTCACTGTCCTCTTTCACTTGTCTTTAAGTAATTGTGTGTGAGGACAGGACAGAATAGCACTTTTACAGGAATTTCCTGTTAAGTAGCAATACAAGCTTAGATTTATGAGAAACCCCCTCCTGTACAATAACTCCAGTGTTTTAGGTGTTGAACAAATAAGTTTCTTGCTCCTAAAATCTTACAATCCTGGAAGGAAAGGAAGTCACAGGGATTTGTCATTAAATGCAGAAAGGTACACAATTAAACCTTTGCAATCTAAGAGCTGCTCAGCCCAAAGTCCTTCCCTCCCTCAAGTGTATAACTGTGCTTTCACTTAAGTAATTCCAGTAGAAACTACTGATTATATTTTACTTCCATGAGGTAATCTTCTCCCACTACTAACTATGAACCAGCAAAGTCCTGCTTGTGATTCTTCTGGGTGTACTGGGCTTTCCACACATCTGCAACAGCCGTCATCCCAGTGTCTGGCTTTTCTGCTGTCTGCACACCTTCCCCAGCACTGAGCAGCTCCAAAAAGATCTGTTCTCATCAACTTCACAAACTTTTGCTGTTCAGAGGAAGAAAATGACCAGCGTTTGTTTGCTACGTAGCTAGTTTAAGCTTCCCCTTTACCAAAAAGTGTCACTGAAGATCAGTTCTTAACCGGATTGAGAGTGAAGGATTAATTACACTGACCACAGATGGGCATGATGCAAAGAATATCAGTAAACTCCCCACACAGCTCTCCAAAAGTACTTTAATTATGGCCTGCATAAATTTCTACTCCAGTTTTTGGACTCCCTTAAGCAGAGACTACCAACTGTCCTAAATTGCTTGGTGGTTTGTTGAGGTAGAAAAGTATCCTCAGTGGATTAAACTCATTACTGGGAGGTTTATTAGTGAGAAGGTACTGTAAGTCCATTAATAAATGAGGAGTGAGGCAAAATCAATTATGATTTTAATATGACTGAACCACTAAGTGCTTTTTTTTAAATCTATCATTTAAAGGGAAATAAAAGAGCACGGGCAATTAAGAAGCAATGAAGTACATAGTTGGCATGGTTCTTGATAAATGCAGGTAAGTAAATACCTGAGAAAATTAAATGCACAACTGAGCAGAACACAGTAATGATGGTTCCTTCATCTTAAGAAAATTTGTGAATATACCAACTCATTCAGAGCTACTTTTAAAAGCTAAACCACTGGCCCCTGGAATAAAAAAAGAGTATGTAAAACACAGAGGGTAAACTACGGGAGAAGTTAGTGGGAGGAAAGAGAAATTGGTCATTTAGCATCTAGTAAATGTAATGTGTCTGCCCAGTAAAATGGTGGAGCTACTAGGATGGAAAATCTGAAAATCAGTAGCAAAGAAGGGTACTACAAAAGTAGCAAGTGCCTACTCCAAACTGTGCCACAGCAACTTGTGTACTGTGGCTGCTCTCAGCTGAATGACAGAAAGAGCAGATGAAGGGAAGAGGACAGAGGTAATATTTCTGGATCTTAAGAAAACATTAGGTCATATGCTTTGCAAAATTTCATTTGGAAAACAATGCCAATTGGCAGGGATGGGAACACTGTTGCAGTAGCTGAGAAAGGCTAAATTTTTCTAAAGGAAAACTTGAGACAAATGACAACAGGTTTCTGATGTGGGAGTTTGAGTTTTTGCAGGAATTGGCATATGGCCTGGTTTTCTACAGAAACTCTTCTAACAATCTGAAAGATGGAATAGAAAATATGTGAACACAATTTGGAAATAATAATGATATTTCAACTGTAGAGTATGATGAGGGTCTGGAAATACTAAAAGTGCAAGAGGAAATGAGTAGCAGAAAGACTACTGATGCACTGAAGTGAAAGGGAGCTACAGCACTGAAACATGCAACTTGTCACTTGGCAGTGCTTATATGGCAGAGCACACTACTTTCTCTGGAGCAAGAAACAAAACAAAATGAAACAAAACTCATGACTCATGTGAACTAACAGCTGTGGTGGGAGTACAGCTCCAAGTTGACTAAGCATTGAGGGCACATGATGAGTCTATGTATGTGTAGCTGAAGGCTCGGCTAAAGACCAAATGTGACCAGATATTTCAGAAAAAAAGAAAATGAAAAAAAAACCTCATGAACAAAAACCAAGTCCCATGGGTGAGATAGAGGTGGAGAGTGGATGAAAGGATTTAAATACCACCAAGAAATGCAGATGCCCTGTTTCAGCCAGGTGTTGCTTCATTATCATATACATACAACGATTTCTTCCTGCTGGGAGTATTTGTAAGCCTGTGTTTGTCATTTTCAGCTGTCACTAAGTAAAGTTACATTGCTGCCGTATTTTTGTACCTTCCAAATGTTACATTTAATAAGAGAAGTCAGATTTTTTTTTTTTTTTAATTGTTTCAAGGCCTCTGTGGTTTTACACAGTGAAGGACTTTTTTTTTCATGGACTTTGAGTATTTTCTGTGCACTCTTTTTCAAACTATTTTTCGCTTATACAGTTCCCAGTAGTTTAAGACTGACAATATGTATTAATGGAAGCATATATGCCCAGTATCAAGCAGATAAGTATCAAGCAGATAGCTATAATTTAATTTATTCTATCTATGCCCTGGTTGGATTGCTGGGCTGGTTTTGAGAAACAAACTTGACTAAGTGAGGATTTGATCCACTACTGTCACACACCAGAGAGAAGGCTCGCATTATTTTCAGTCAACAGGGGTCAGGCTTGGAAAATTCTGCTTGACTTGAAGAATAGTAATTTATGGGTTGTTTTTTTTTTGTCTATTTCAGGAAGATCATCGTGAATAATTCTGTAAAAGGCAACATGTCTTTGATTTTTATCAGTTTTTGTAGTTTTATTAGAAGGTCTTCTTGAACTTCAGGGTAAGAGTTTACCTTTTATATCTATACTTCAAGATGAAGAAATGTGGATTGCTGACATTCTTGATTGCTTTATAAGAAAATGTGAACAGCTGTAATTAATGGGATGACATGCTATATTAATTTTCTCTACCTTAAATATTACATTTTCTTTGTCCTGGTTGAATGATTTCATTATGCTGGCTGAAATGTTTATCTTCTTACGGTAGTGTTTTGATAAATATTTAGTTTAAAAGATTACTTCCTAGAACAATTTCTACTATAAAAACTGGTGTCCTGAAAATTTGCTAAATGTATATGCAACAATTATGGCTAAACAGAATCTGTTAAAAAAAAAGTTCTGTTATTGGTTTAGTAATACAAAGGGGGAAATTCTTCTGGCTTGAATTTTGTAATCTCAGACTTTTCATATGAAAGAGCTTGCTACAGCAATCAGCTGACTGCTCTTCATGTCCATAAATACAGTCTCTATGGAGAGATGAAAAATCTGAGAGTTTTATATTGAATTTTGCCATCAACCACTTGGATTCTGAAAAGCATAAAACTGAATTAATTTCTATGGGAAGGGGTTAGTTTCTCTACATACCAAGTTAAAGCCAGTAGCAATCTGTCCCTAAAAATCTGGAAATAAACTAATAATACATCAAAAGTAAAAAAATAAACCAAAACTGGGAAATTTCATTGAGCTTTTAAAAAGTACATTGGTGTCAACAGCCTTGGAGATAATAACTGAAAAGAATTATGTAAATTAAGCAGCAAACCTCTTGAAAGTCTGTGAGTTTGAAATATGGCTTACAGCGATGCACATCTTTTTGAAATTTCAGTACAAGCATCCATTCCAGCAAAAGATCACCAAGTATAGTTACACTGTACTTGAGAGATTATCACCCAAAGAAACAACAAAACACTGTGAAGTCACATCTCATTCTCCAGCAAAACCTCATGAATTAGGTGCCTCCATACCGCACCCAGAATTGTCCGGCCTAGGGAGTACTGGTGCTGTACCCAGCCAGCATGTTAGTAATACCTATAATGAGCCACATGTTGTCTGGCCTGTCATTAAAGACTCTAGCACACTTTCTGCAGACCTCCAGTTTGCCTTCTGGTGGTACCAATGCCTATTTCACAGCCAGTTGCTAAATGCTCTTTGCCCGTTTTCTGACATGCCATTGTATGAACAGGAGAGATTGAGGGGTCTGCTCTTTGGGAAGGGTTCTCCCAGTTTTGTCTCTGATGTCAATATAGAAGGACCTCTGGTTTTTATTTCTATCTTTTTAAGTGATGCTTGCCATTTTTAGATGTACTTTTGTGTACCATCTACCTTTTTTACTAGCATATTGGTGAAACTTCCATCTTTTTACTTCTTTCTGTTTTTAGTCACCTTTAGAGTTGACACATGATAACTTAAAAGCTTGACCACTCCCGTGGCTGTGCACTATCAGAATGATGCAAACATATGAATGCATCTAAACACCCCAAGTGAGGGGGTGATTTACCACAGACCTAAGATATCTTTTTACGTTATGCCCCCAAGATGAGTAGGTGCTGGTATCTGTGGGACAGCAGAGCTGTAAGGACCTGTGCTGATCTGCTTGCCACCTTTCTCAGAGAACCCACAGTGCAGCTGAGCAGAGGACCCAGCTGTCCTAAGTCTTCATCCACTGCCTTTACTGAAAACTGTGGTCCCTTTTGGGAATATTCAGATCTTACCTTCAGATCTTTAAGTTCAGTAGTGTGGCAAGAAAGCCACTAGATTAATTTTATCTTTCATTTACAAATGTCTACAAAACAGTTCACCAGAGGAAGTCAAGCACTGTAATTTTAAACAATTGCTTGAGTGAGCTCTGTACAACTTAATCATGGGCTGGAACGAAACGTGTAGGAGTAGCGTCAGACACAGGGATGAAAATCATAGAACACCTTGCTGGCTGTAAATCAGCACTGACTTTTGGAAGTAGCAAGAGCTTGAGCTCCCACCATCCAACACACACTGACAATATGTGTCACTTTAAAGTGATCACTGGGAGCTTGTATGTGCCCTACTGTTTCTTATATTCTTCCAAGATGTTTCCATGTTATTTCCACAGAGATGTGACATTGCAGAATGGAAGAGACGTGGGGTCAAGAATCTTGCTAAGGTAAGATTGAACAAACTTCTCCTCATCCAAAGGTGCTCTTGTTTCTTTTTCAAAAGATATATAGAACTAAGTATGACAAATCTATACCATTAAGTAAATAAACTGAAATCCCTTTAAGCCAATTAAGCTAAAACCACTATCCTGGGGGAATAAACTGTTCATGGTTTTCCCCAAATGTACTCTGCAGAATCCAAATGATAAGTAGACAATTCGGGAAACTGCAAATCCCACTTCCACCTGTTGCTTCTTTGCTTGTGTTGCTTTGGCTGAGTTTGGTTTTTTGTGGGTTTATTTTTTATTTTTTTTTTTATCTTGGTTGGTTGGGATTTTTTGGGGACTGTTTTGTTTTTTTTTTGTCATCATAATTCTTTTTTTTTTCTTACTTGAAGTACATTTGAGAGCTTGTTTGTGCTCTGAGAGTATCTGTTGACTGTCAACTAGTGTCTGTCTTATATGGAACTCTTATATGGGACTTATATGCCATCTCTTACAAAATAATGCAGAAGCTGACATTGATGAAAGAAGTTGAAGCAGAAAGCTAGAAGGGATAAGGAGGAGTATTATATGGTCAAGCCTGAATAAATGTCCTGATGTGTCCTCAGAAATCCCGTGTACATTAGCAGGTGAGCAGAGAGACCTTTTCATCTTATTCACAAATTACGGAATCATAGAATATTTAGAGTTGGAAAGGACCTTAAGATCACCCAGTTCCAACCTCCCTGCCGTGGGCAGGGACACCTCCTAATAAACCATGTCAACAAAGATTTCGTCCAACCTGGCCTTGAACGCTGCCAGGGATGGAGGATTCACAACAACCTTGGGCAACCCATTCCAGGGCCTCACCACCCTAACAGGAAAGAATTTCCTTCTTATATCGAACTTAAAATTCCCCTGTTTGAGTTTGAAGGCATCACCCTTGTCCTGTCGCTACAGTCCCTGATGAAGAGTCGCTCCTCAGCATCCCTATAGGCCCCCTTCAGATACTGGAAGGCTGCTATGAGGTCTCCACGCAGCCTTCTCTTCTCCAGGCTGAACAGCCCCAACTTTCTCAGCCTGTCTTCATACAGGAGGTGCTCCAGTCCCCTGATCATCCTCGTGGCCCTTCTCTGGACTTGTTCCAACAGTTCCATGTCCTTTTTATGTTGAGGACACCAGAACCACACGCAATGCTCCAGGTGAAGTCTCACAAGAGCAGAGTAGGGGGCAGGATCACCTCCTTCGACCTGCTGGTCACACTCCTTTTGATGCAGCCCAGGATACAGTTGGCTTTCTGGGCTGTGAGCACACACTGAAGCCAGCTCATGTTCATTTTCTCATCAACCAACACCCCCAAGTCCTTCTCTTCAGGGCTGCTCTGAATCTCTTCTCTGCCCAACCTGTAGCTGTGCCTGGGATTGCTCCGACCCAGGTGTAGGACCTTGCACTTGGCATGGTTAAACTTCATCAGGTTGGCATCAACCCACCTCACAAGTGTGTTGAGGTCCCTCTGGATGGCATTCCTTCCCTCCAGGGTATCTACTGAACCACACAGCTTGGTGTCATCGGCAAACTTGCTGAAGGTGCACTCAATCCCACTGTCCATGTCAGCAACGAAGATGTTGAACAAGACCGGTCCCAACACCGATCCCTGAGGGACGCCACTCGTTACTGGTCTCCCGCCGGACATTGAGCCATTGACCACAACCCTTTGTGTGTGGCCATCCAGCTCCTTCGACCTGCTGGTTACGCTCCTTTTGATGCAGCCCAGGATACTGCTGGCTTTCTGGGCTGCGAGCACACACTGAAGCCAGTTCATGTTCATTTTCTCATCAACCAACACCCCCAAGTCCTTCTCTGCAGGGCTGCTCTGAATCTGTTCTCTGCCCAAAATGTAGCTGTGGCTGGGATTGCTCTGACACAGGTGTAAGACCTTGCATTTGGCTTGCTTGAAATTCATAATGTTGGCATCGGCCCACCTCTTGGATTGCTACACTCAAATGACTGTTTATGATATAAACGCATTTATTGATACAGTCCGAACACAGGGATTAATTTACGGGGACACGCAGCAGCGGTGCCCAGTGTGTGGCCGTCATGGGCAGGGACACATCCCCCTGGGCCTCCTGGGCACAGGCACTGCCTCAGGGCCAGCACCCCAAAGGCCTTTCTCCAAGGCACGCTGGGCAAAGGGGCAGCAGCAGCAGCAGCGCTGCGGTGGGCAGGGCTGCAGGGGCCCCAGCACCCCTGTGTCATAGTGCCAGCACCCGCCAACACAGCGTCACAATGCCCTGGGGCAGTATAAGGCCAGTGCCCTCCGGCAGTGCATTCCTTTGAGCTGCGGTGCCAGGCACTGCAAGGGTTCTTGCTCCCAGGCTAAATGAGGCCAGCGGCATTTTGCTGTTGTGGGAAGCCCCTGAGATGACTGCAGGTGGAGGCATAAAGCAGGTTCAGTGTCCCCTTAGAGGCATAACCAGCCCGTGGACCAGGAGCAGGTCTTGCTCACGTGCTCAGGGAGTAGCCGATCGCCAGCCCTGGGGTCAGGAAGGAATTTCCCCCCGGGGCAGATTGGCACCGGTCCCCGGGGGTTTTTTGCCTTCCTCTGAGCACTGAGCACCACCACTTGCCAGGGCTCCTGTGGTCCTGGTGCTCTGGGTTATCGCCTGGTGCTCATGCACCACGAAGGTGGCCCCTCGTGTCCTACAGCTGGGGGGGGGGGGAAGGCTTTTTTGCCCCCAGGCTGGACTAGCAAGTGTCCCCGGGGTTTTTTGCCGCCTCTGCAGCCCAGCACAGCCCCTTCACGGGGCTCCTTTGGGTCATTGTGGCCCAAAGGCAGCGGCTCGTGCTCCATGCAGCTGGCCCTCGTGCCCCGCATCCGGGGGGAGGCAGCCTTCAGCACTCCCAGGGTGGCCCCTGCGTGGCCCCGGGACTTGCTGCTGTCCTCTGTAGCATTGAGCACCACCCCGAGTCAGGTTTTCCCTGGCCCCTTCTGGCTGGGCTCTTCCACTGCTCTCGCCCCACCATGGAAATGCTCCTGCCCCGGCTTTCCCTTCTCAGGCTGCGAGGCAGGGTGTTTTCCAGCTCAACTGAAGGATGCATCAGCCCGCTGCTGGCTACGCTTGTGCCCAGGTTAAGGCTTCTGGGCATCGGCTTCGAAGGACTTAGAAAAAGAAAACCTAATCTAAACTAAGCCACACTAAAATTAACTAAACTAAACTAAGGTAAATATAAACACTTGATTTAGGAATAAATGAAATGCTCTTACCACCTGTAACCTGGCTTGTGTCTGCTTTGTGTCTTTGAAAGTGTTTCTGGTGTTGAAAGTCCTTGGCATTTTAGGTAAATAATGGTCACATCATTATACAAATCATCAAGAGTGCAGGGAAGGGAACAGAATGGAATGGAATGGAATGATATGGAATGGAATGGAATGGAATGGAACGGAACAGAATAGAACAGAACAGCTATGCTATGTCATGCATCTAGTTCTGCATGACAAGGTCTGATGTAGGTCTGAGGGGCTATGTGCCATGCAGGTCCCAAAGGGGGGGCCAGTCCCAAGCACTGAGGCCTATAAACAGCCCCTGGACCCTGACAGAAGTAGACCTGCACTCCTCATCTACTCTCCTTTAGACACATATGGGGTGCCACTGCAGGGAGAGCATTGGGCCAGATGGACTCCTGATGGAGCATTGTTGTTCCCAGGCTCTTGTCTTTTGTTCTGTTTCTCCAAAAGAAAAAACTCGGGCATTTTTAAACACTAGCATTTGGGGGAGGGGTGGGGTTGGGAGTGGGGGGAATCACAAGGACATGAGCAGGTACTGCCCACATAAACGAGGTTTGCAACCAATGGAGTTCAGGAGCACATCCTGCTTCAGGCTGAGGGCTTGATCTTTGAGCCCCACAGATATCAGAGACGGGGTCTTTTGCTATGCTGCGAAACCCAACTAAACTGGATGAACACAGAAGAGTTTCAAAATCCAGTTCACACGTATTTTTTGCAAATCTGTTCAGATGCCTCAAATCATCCAGAGACAATCGCCGTCTCTCACCTCCATCAGAAGGCACAGGCCTCCTTCCCACAGAGTGACAGAGCCAATGCCTGTGACTGGACATGATTACTCACTGAATCCCTTCTGCTAGTGCAGGGCTGGGAAAAAATGGCATCCAGCATTTCCTCAGCATGCTCTGTTTGGGTAGGAAGGGAGTAGGGCGTAAAAAATTGGGAGTTGGAAGAGACCTACAGTGATCACCAAGTCCAGCTGCTGGCCCACTTTGGTGCTGGCCAAAAGTTAAAGCGTGTTATTAAGGGTGTTGTCCATGCCTCTGAAACACTGACGGACATAGGGCATTGGTCACATTTCTAGGAAGCCTGTTCCAGTTAAAAATTGAGGTGATAGGCAAGATTGAATTCTTTATTTATTTTTTTTTAGATATTTTTTTGCATTTAAAGAAGTCAGTATTTTTTCTTTAGCAGCATATATAGAAAGCTTGAAAGTGTGAAGTGAAGCTATTTATCATCACCACTTGTATTTACTGTCAGTGTACTTCATGCACTCTGTAACAATATGTCCTGAAAATGGATATAGTCCAGAGCAGTTTGCTAAAGGGAGAGAGGATGCTGCAATCCCACAGGTTGTAATATGTTACACCTTCCTCAATTAAAGGTTAAGTTCTTACCTCTTAACCTTTTGGTCATTCTTTTTAGCCCTTCCTTTAGGTTTTGCCTCTTTCTCTTTCAGTTGATTAGAATTGTGTGTTGTATTAAAAAAATATGCGACAAAAGGGGTACAGCCTGACAGTTTTCGAGCTCCTTTCCTGGGTTCCTCAAAGTCACTGCCTTTTGCTGGTACCCACGCTTATAATAAATGAAACTTAAGGGGTGTATTTGTATTTAGATGGTGGGAAGCATTCCAGTTATACAGATGTTAGGAGTTGTCCTGTCTCTGTTTTTTTTGAGATGGGTTTTCATCCAGTGAATTTCAGGGAGAAAATCCATCAGCTTCCATTGAGCTCACTCTTTC